CTTGGTATAGCAGTAAGTCTTCTAAATTGAACTAATCATTGTCGGAAGTTAAAACATTATTAATAATTTAGAGGTAATATAACTTTAGTCCTTGAGCTTTTCTTGCAATTATTGATTTAGTTTTTGAATTTTGACTCATTACAACTAAATTCTCGTAGTTTATTGAGTTAAGGAATTACAAGAATTAAGTTAAACCGAGTTAAAAAATTATAAGAACTGAGTGGTTTTAAGTTAAAAAACCATAAGGATTGACTTATTCAGAGTCAAAGTAAATGGATTGAATCGATAATTAAAAAAAAGTTCAGGAACCAAGAGTTATATTTACCCAATAGTTTATTATGCTTTGTGGATGATAAATGTTCACTGGAGTGGCAAATTGTTCAGGTGGGAATATCTATCTTCAAGATCCTACTTCACGTGTCTCGACCAAACACTCTGGTTTTGGGAAACATACCAGGAACACAGATATACCATAACCTAAACCAATACAAAGAAGCTTCAAGGATTCCTTCATTTCTCATTCTAGCTGTTGAGTCACCCATTTACTTCGCCAATTCAACTTACCTGCAAGAAAGGTAAGGGAAGGCTGTTTGTAGAACATAAAGTTTTGTGCATTGGGGATATACTTCTGTTTAGTAAGCTGATAAGAACTTGTTCTGCTGCAGAATACTCAGATGGGTACGAGAAGAGGAAGAGCGTGTGAAAGCAAACAAAGAAAGTACATTGAACTGCTTAATCTTGGACATGACAGGTATATATTTAATGGACCAAGGCGGTTATGCCTTTGGATCCTGATTGACTTAACTAAAGTGGTGGTAGAAAAGATAAGAGATAGATAAATAATGGTAGACACTATTTCAGTGGGACCCATATATTAGAAGGAAGCTTACTTTTATGAGATTTGGATTCAATGAGTGGCCTTAATTGACTCACTTGATGAATATCTCAATAGCAACCATTAAATTTTCAACACTTGAAAATTGCCAAGGTACATTTCCTTCCAAAAATTCAAAACAACCATTACCATCAAAACACTCCTGACATACATTGTTCCTTTCAAAAAATTAAGATTGGGTGCTTTCTGAATATTATATGATAAAATCTTTGATAGCTATTTGATTAAATCAAATGGTTATTATCACGCCATGTGAGACACTCATTGAGTGAGTAAATTCAAATTCACTTTCATATGTCTATTTATCTATTCACTTTAGAAGATTTTCCATAAAGGGATCCATATGGAGATGTTATTTGCAGAGGTTTCACTTTTCAGGGTCATTTGGACTAACCATGTCATTTTATCAGCTGTGACTGCCATAGACACAAGTGGGCTTGACACACTACGTGAACTTAGAAAGATGCTGGAAAAAAGATCAATTCAGGTGTGGTTAATATAATAACATATCTCATAGGTACAAAGAATATATGAACAAACAAATTTTCCCAGCTAAGATTTTATTATGGTTGATAAATGTGATGCAGCTTGTGCTGGCAAATCCGGTTGGAAATGTGATGGAGAAGTTACACAAGTCAAAAGTATTGGACTCTTTTGAGGAGAAAGGACTGTATCTCACTGTGGCAGAAGCTGTGGCTGCCATTTCAATTCCCTGAAAGAGCTCAGCCTCCACTCCAATTGATGGTTGATCATGAGATATATTGATAACTAACAACAGCTTTAGTCTTTTGGCTCTAATGATAGTGACAGGCAAAATCTTGGCTCAGGAGTGATTCTTCTTTGTGGGTCAAAAAAGGAGCATCCAAAAGGCCAAGTGAAGTGGGATACTTGTAGGACTTTTTTCCTGTGTAAATTTCGATAGAACGAAATAAAAAATAGCGATGGCAAAACATACAATTACAAGAATAACGAAGCACATTGTAAACTTTGTTCAAATCAATCGAATACTTGAAATGAAAAAGGTTAGTAAAAGAAACAAATGGAATGTTCAACATGCAAGTTTATAAGTTAATAGGCACATCTGTTGGCCTCTCGATAGATATGATTAATCTTATTATTCCAATCTAATAAGAAATTTCCGAATTTTCTAAAGGTAGTTTGGATAGCATTTTTCAGATCTCATATATATATATATATATATTGGAAATTTCAAGGTAAAAATTGAGAAGTAATAAATTGGAGCTTTCGGGAAAAATCTTTTTAAAATGAAAAAGCAAACACGTTTTTAGTTATGTTACCAAAGGGTAGACCAACTAGTTTACATCTACAATCATTACTCATTTTCGAATATATTTAAAAACTTTACGACCTGTCATTATTTTAGTCAAAACTAGAGCTGTCAATTAGGGCCAGCCCGGCTCTAAAGGGTCAGGGCCTAAACGGGCTGGTCCTAATAAGCCCGATTGCATGTTAAGGTTCCATTTTATAAAGCCCAGCTGTAGCCCTCAGGGCATTGGCCCTATTTTTTTAAAATTATTTTTTCAATTAAAAATTATAAAAATATATTTATAATCATAAAAAAAGTTATTATTCATTAAATTAAGTTTAAGAAAATAAATTTAAATCAATTTATACCACAACAATAAAGAAAACTAAAACATTTAAGTCTAATATCAAATAGCAACATCAAAGTGAATACCAATAAAAATTAAACTTAGCTAATATTATCAGCTAAATCTTAATAAATAAATGAGGGATGGATGAATGCATTTAATATATTCATTTCTTTGAGTTATATATTTAATCTTTTATTTTTTATATTATAATTTTTTTAAAAAAATAATAAAAGGGCCTAAAAGGCCAAGACCAGCCCTTTGTAGCTCGATTTACTTTTTTAAAGTTAAAATAGAAGTCCGGGCCTTAATTTTTTCAGGCCTAAAAGGGCCGGCCCTACAGGCTCGGCCCTAATTGATGGCTCTAGTCAAAAAGCAAAACTATTCTCACATTTCTTTAGTTGAAAACATTGACCAATAGGTTTCCAAACACTGCTAACAGAGTCATAAATGATTATTACATTTAGCCAAACTCTGTTCATTTCAAGAAGGTATGCATGGTAGGTTATTTTAACCCAAAAGAAGAAAACAAGAATATGGTAATGAGTAATGTTGACTACAAGCCATGCTAGATACCAATGAAGTTGTCTACAAATTTGAGAAACTTGATCAAACTTTGTCCATTTAGAAGCAACACTTGTGCATTCCTCTTTAAGTTAAATGGCGATCTAAAATTGACTCTTTGGTAGAGACCTTGCTTCAAATATTTAAAGACTAAAAATAAAGGAAAAACTATATTTTATCCCTCTAAATCAAAACTAAGTTACAAAATTAACCCATGAATTTAACAATGTGATAGAACTTTTTAAACTAGAACAAAAATATTAAAATCTAATTTAAATAAAATAAATATTAATAATTTGCTCCAACAATAGTTTAAGATCTGGCTTTAAAATTAATATACAAATATAAGAAGTTTCATTATTCAGAAGGCATGATGTCTTACAGTTAATTCTAAAATTTTCATTTGAATTTGCTCTACTTTTGAGAAATTGCTTTAAATTGATATTAAAAATACAAGTATAAGAAGTTTCATCAATATCGCATGGTCTCTCACATTTAATTTTCATTTTAATTTATTATACTTAGAATTGTAACAATTAGGCATTAATCAAAACACTCACCTCAGTACAAGTCATTATTTTTTTATTAAAGACAAGATGGGTTATTTGATGATATGGGGACAAGAATTTAAAGACAATGATAATGCTACTATCCTGATTACAAACCTCAACGAAGACTTTCATCCAGATAATCTATTGTATAATGCAAATTCATTTCACAGGCTAGCATGCACACGAATGCCAGTAGCTTAAAATGTAGTGCCCGTTTGAATTTTAGTTAGGTATAATAAATTATAAAAATAATTGATTAAGTGATAGATTTTAATCATAATTGTTTATGTTATAACTTAATCTATTTAGATATTTATTTTTTAATTAATTTTAACAAAATTGAATATGTTTGAATAATTTATTCAGAAGTAATTTTAATTATATAAATTATCATAAAGGACATTGTATTTCAAAATTAAATTATTAATAAATTTGTATTTAATATTGTTAAAGTTGTTATATTTTCTTTAAGAAGTAAGATATATATTGGTTTTATTTTTATTAAATTTTGAGCTTTTTTTTTTTTGAGTCTTTCTTTGTAATTTTCTCCACCTCTTTTTGATTGATTTTGTGCAGAAGCTCGAATTGCCAGCCTTTGAGAAAAATTGATTTTAACCAAAAAATCAATTAAATGAAAATCATGCGTTTGGGCATTTTTTTGGTTAATCCATTTTTTCACTTAAAAATGGATTAATTTTGCTTAACCAAACAGGCACGTATATTACTTAACAGCTAGATTGAGAATCCAAAGAGATAGCAAAAACCAATAATTGACAGTATGTTTGGTTTTATGTTGAAAACCATCGAAACATACCAAACCAACAATGCACTAAATCATAATGCAAAGTAACCATTTGAAAGCGCATGCTTGTCTCAAATCAAAAGGTTTGAAGGAGAAAAAAGGTAATCGCAGAGATCTATTATATTTAACAACCCCATTGAATGTCAGTGAACATAATTATGACATGCTTTTAAGATCTTAAACAGATCAGCAAACTCACAACAGAAAAGAAAAATAAAAATAAGGAGAAAAAGAATTACTTCCATTAAAGTTTTCAGGGTTTCTTCAAAAATGATGTACTAGTCTAGCGGGATAATCTATGTTTGGATTTCTAAGAAACTAAGGAACAATATATTAGAGAGAATAAATCCTCCAGTAGCATGAATAATCATTCAATTCATGGGCTCTATCTTGAAGATCATCCAAATTTGAATTTCGAAGCATAGAAACACGTGCTGATATGATTCCCGAACACAACAATTCTTGACTTCAACTCACTGCCAATCAAACATCTGCAAGAACTCGGCTAAATCAAATCAAAGGTAAAGCAAGCCAATATTTGGCAAAACATGAAACTGATTGCTTGTGAATGCATCTACGTGTCCAACTAATCTTTGACATTCAAGAGGAAGAAAGTATTGCAAAAAAAAAAAAAAAACTACAAATTAACCAACATCTTAGTTCAGTTCAATCAGAGAGACAGCAATACGACAAAATGAAATTGAAATGAGTTTTAACATTGCAAGAATGTGCAGACAGTTAACCATAAAAATTTCAAAGGTAAAATTGTAAAAACAAATTGAAAAAAAAGGGGGCAGCGGCCAAACAACATAGAGATGGAACCCCTCCTAGCCATCCAAAGTGGGGTCTAAGGTCAATGTTTTCAAGACATCGGGCGGACTAACTGGTACAATATTCTTCTTCTTTTTTCACAAGCCAACTGATATAATCATATTTAGTTAGAAGCACCATTTGCCACCCACATAAGCAGTGTTTTGCTAGGGGCTGCCCAACCCAAGTCCAGTGTTAAAATGTTCATAATGCTACTACCAAACACACCTGAGAGACCCAATCTGAAGAAGCATAATCATGATTGGGCTGTGTAGGGTCAAGATATTCTGACCTGGGTTATTGGGGTTTGTCTAGCCACAACCCTATCCAAACCTGATGCTGTTACAACCCAAATATAATATAAAACAAATGAGGGACATTGGTAAAACAACAGATCATGTGCAATTGTGCATAAACAGATCTTCAAATGGTGCACACATCAATTAATCAGCCAAACAAATCACCAAAACCAAGTCAGCCAAACAGCCTTAAATGATAAAGTTCTTACTTGAACGTAATCGTGTAATTGGTATCTCCCGGAGCTCACGTTTGATACACAGGTATTCACCCAGTAATGCCATCACAGCAATTCCAGTACCATTCACAATCCACCAAGTGATTGAAGATGGCCAACCTCCATACACAATGCATATAAAAAGATGGATGATGTAGAGGGTGGCTGAAAAATCCAAGCATTTCTTTGCCCTTTCAATTAAATAAAGCATATATACAGACCTGCCAAAAAAATATTGTAGACTAAGTACAATACAAACAGCCATAAAAGTTCATGTTTATAAGCCAAAATACAAGAGATATACAAACCCCATGATACCCCATAACTGCCACAAATGCCTTTTTTAATCCCTCCTCCAAATAACAACCCAAAACAAATCATAAAACATCAATAGAAGCATCAGATCTCCCAAGAAATAGGCAAATTTGCTCCAAAACCCAATTATTGTTTATGTTTCTATAAGCTACCAAAGACTAACTGGTTGACACTAGATACTGGAAAAAGAAAACTCAAAGATTTCATTTCCTTATAATGCTGTGATAGTATGGAGAATTTCAGTTAAGAGATAAGCAAACATAAAGAGTAACCAGGTCTCACAATCACAATGTTGATATTCAGGTTCAACCTATTATATAGCATGCAACTTTTAAAAAGACTGACCTGTAGAAAAAGTATAAATACAGTTCATAGGTTATATTTCGAAGATAAGTGACAGAACGTGTAAAATCCTAGCAGACAATCGGGTGTCTCTCTTATTTGTATGCACCAAAGATCCATGACTTCTAAGTTCTAACAGCCAACAATGTTTTAGCAAGTGGGAAAAAAACCCCATGTTAATAAGTTTTGTAACTTTACTATACCCCTCACTTAAAAGATAAGGAACATACTAGTCACCAGATATTACTCTATCATTCTATGTACAAGTTACAAACAAGCAGGCTAAAATGAAGATCACCAAGTACATGCCAGGTAATCAAAGAGGAGAACCTCTTATTTAAAGACAGTTATTAACAATAAATGAGTCAATATACAAAAGAATAATGGATGATAGTCTTACCTTACTGTTTATCATTAGACATGGTCTCTTTATAAATCCTTATACTTCCTCTGTCCTTAACTATGCTACCCAGTTGCCAAAATCATGGAGACCAAGGAAGTGGCTTGTGTCAAAATGTTTTCGTTCTTCTTTCCAAATCTACCCCTAATTAAATGCTTTCCTTCTTTTATGATGGTAAAATCATTTATTGGGCTGGGGAAAAATCATTAAATAGAGATATATGTGGAAATATCTGTTAAAACATCCTAGAATTTTGAACAAGGTGTCATAAAAAGGGACAACGGCTTAAAAAAATTGGGTACTATATTTAGGGATGGAGGGACTATTCGTTGAATTTCGTACAAAGCAGAGGTAGTGTGCTAGTTTTGTAAATAATAGAAACTAAATAAGTGTCAGAAAAATACGGCAGAAGAGTGAATATGAAAAAAATTACGTATTACAGAGGGCTGAATTTTACACATTTCACCCAAAACAGTCTGATGTTAAGCACAACAGACAGAATTGATTTCAGAATGATTGCAGTTATAAGCAAGCGGACAAAACAATAAAATAAAATTAAAAGAGAAGCCAAACAAGAATTGTGAGAATTAAGAACAATCTAATGAAAATCCATATCCACCAAGTTCAGTTTCACATCTGTATTATGTGAATCAGGTCACAAGCAATTCAAAGCAAGAGGGAAGGCAAAAAAGTAATGTGAAATATTCATTTAAGGATTCAAATAACTAGAGAGTAGCAACACTGGGGAGAATTCATGTTTCCATGAATGATATGTAAAGGAGCACAGACACAAAATACATCATTAGCTATAACATATTTAATCAATTTTAGTTTATTGATTACATAATCATGAATTAGGATCTCAATAAACTTGTTAGGGCAATAAAGTAAAAGATAATATTTACCCTGCAAAAGAGCTGAGCAGAAATGAGGCAATAACACACCAACCAGTAACGGTAGAGGTAGTGATGGTCACATAATCAAAGAAATATACGAGGCTTAACCGAGATACGCGAGTCCCGACAAGTATCGATAGGAACACTCCAAGAGTGATATAATATAAACATTGAAGACAGACAATTTGAGCGACAATAAGCCAAGGGTCCCAGACCACCGCACCATAGAACATGACGGCGAGTTCTCAAGACACCTGATCCTCCGGAAACTTGAGAAAGAAAATTTCCTATAGGAATCAACCCAGATTCTTATACTTGAATCGTAGCCACACAGCTCATCCCTATAAAACACTTAAAATCTAAGCAATTGAAGCCGGAGAGCTCGTCCTTCAGAGAAGTGATCGAGTTTTAGAAACCCAAATTCTCACAAAGCATCATCAAGCTTAGAAACATTCACTCTTCAATTCCAATCATTTGGTTATTCTCCATCCAAACCCGAACTCAGAACCATGTAGATGCTCAGATCTAGATTCTGGAAACAATAATGCAAGAAAGTCACCAAAAATTTCAAGAAAGAAAATCATGATTGAAGCGGGGTAGAAAACTAGAGAAATATTAAATAAATTCCTACTTTTGTTACGGAGGTTGATACAGTAGCAAATTCCTGCAAAATGTTTAGACAGGCTCCGGCCTCAGACTAGAGAACTTGCCCAGAACCTGACCAGAAAAAACTTGAGTGAACAGTTTGAGATCGATAAGAAAATGAATTTCTGGGATTTGGAAGTGTCCCTCTCCGGCTAGAACTTTTTAGGCGAGATTGAATTGAGAGAGAACGATTTTGCAGAACCTGAGCAGAGGAACAATGAATATGCCGTTTACAGTTATTACTCGTCGTTTTGAGAAATGAGAAATGAGAAATTAGGGTACGAAAGCAGCCTCAATGGTTTGTATTGAATTGAATGATTTGAGTCTAAAATCTAAATATCTCAGTTTAACATTTCATGTCTTACTTATCTTTATTTTTAATTAATTAAAATATATATTGTCCAATTTTTTATTTTTTATTAAAAAAATTTCAAATAAAAATAAAAAATTCCTTTTGCTATATTTATTTTTTTCAAATAAAAATATAAGAATACAATCTATTAAAATTATCTCAAAATAGGCATCAAAATTCCCAATTAGTGGTATGGTACCATATTTTAACTTTGCTAATTACTAATATGCCACATTGAAAAATTAAAAATTTGATGAGGCATCTTTAAGACAAGCCAATCATTTTGATAATTTATTTCACTTAATTAATATCATGTGTGTTTCCTTAACAAAATAATCCTTGCTTCAAGTGTCATCAATAGTATAATAATTATTTTCATCTCATCTCTTATTTGAAATGCTCTCCTAATAGTTGGCATTATAATTGTTAAAAATTAGTAAACAGAATATATTAGTTAGTTAATATCTAACCAGAGAAGCAGTTAGTTACTAACTAACTAGATGGAGCAAGCAATACTCAGATAACTAATACCACCTGACTCAAGTAATAATAAGAGTTATGATGGCCTAAACATGATGATGCCATGTATCATAGAATTACCCTTAAGAAAATACCAACAAAGATATTAACAAAAAAAATTGAAGTGAAAGCAACCAATTAAGATCCTTTTTGGAACACAAAACTTTATTGATCCTCTTTTGGGACAACAAAAACTGTTCTTGTATAGGTAAGCAAATCAATTCTTAATATCTATACCTGTCTCAGTATCTCTCATCTGTACACAAACTGGTTCTCTGCATATTATCCGTGTGTCTTCGCTTTCACTTTAGCCTTCATTTCCAGCTACTTCTGATTCTTGATGCTCAATTATCTCACAACCCTGGGCAGAAGCTAGTTCCTCCTCAAGTTTATTTGCTTTGCTCTCTAAATTCTCTCTCTCCTGCTCAAGTTTCATGATCTGATTCTGGGCATCTTCGAGATTTTTTTGGGTCTGTGTGGATGTTCTTTTCTCATCTTTAAGAAGTTTATGAAGACGCTCTCTCTCACCTTCAAGGCTAGCAATGCGAGAATTAAACCTCTTTAGTTTATCAGAAAGGGTCATTGCTTTCTGATACATTACTTCTACTGATTTGGCAGCCTCCTTCAGGTTCAGTTCAAAATATCTTCTGACCTGTATTTCTTTGACCATTTGACTCTGCAATAGTTGTACATCATCCTTCAAAGAAGCAACTAGCATTTTCTCTACATTCAAATCCTTCACCGAAGTTTTCAGTTTTTTCTGGACACAATCTAACTTTTTCTGCATCATAGCACTGTCCTTCAGAGCAGCTCTCAGTTCATGGCAGGCACTTTGGAGCTTAGCCTGTGATTTCTGCAGATCTTCCTTTGTGGTCATCAGCTCTCTGGATAGAGGTTCTACTTTTTGCTTTTCATCATCACGCTTGATTTTCAGCAACTCTGAAACTTCAGAGAGTTCAAATACAAGCTTAAGGATTAAAGCTTCTTTCTCGTTCAGTTTCCTTCCCATCTAATTTGAACATCAACATAAATTGATATGAGTTATGATCAACAGCAATCAAGTTTCCAAGAGATTGAAGGGTGAGATTATGCAGAGGCTTACTTTTTCTATACGTTCATAAGCAACAGCCTTATCTTTCAGATTAGCTGCATAACCAGAAACCAGACCTACTATGAAGGAGATTAATCCTAAGCTGGCACTTGTGGAAGGCTGAAACAAAAATGATCTGCCCAGTTGAGTTGCAATCTGTTCATGCAAGTTATTACTCTGTTTAGAACACTTGGGGAAAAAATCCCAATGATAGAAGTATAATAATAAGCCAATGATTGTCATGACTTTAGCAGCATTTCAGAACCTCGTTGTTTTGGATTTGGCTGCACGCTGGTGTCTTCTCCTCACCTTCTTCTGAAACAAAAATGATTAATTACAGAAGTCAATGAAGTAGTTATATAAACCAAAGACTAAAAGATGATAACACAAACAAAATGGGTTCATGAAAGGAAATCTTTAGTGCATATATACATGAAGCTACATTCATTAAACGGATCAGAATGATGATACTGATTGCAAGATTCATCGCAAAGAAAACATAGAATCATTCACCAAACTAATTTCTGGAATACTGTGGCAAGAAGCAAGAACAGACGTCGGAACAGTAAGAAAAATCTTCAGTGCATGTACAGACATGAAGCTATATTCATTAAACGGATCAAAATGATGATACTGATTTCAAGATTCATCACAAGGAAGACTTAGCTAGAGTCATTCACCAAACTAATCTCTGGAATATTGTGGCAAGAAGTAAGAACAGACATCGAAACAGTAAGAAAAATCTTCAGTGCATGTACAGGCATGAAGCCATATTCATTAAACAGATCAGAATGATGATACTGATTCCAAGATTCATCACAAGGAAGACTTAGCTAGAGTCATTCACCAAACTAATTTCTTGAATATTGTGCCAAGATGTAAGAACAGACATGGGAACAGTAAGAAATTAAAATCTTCAGTGAATATATATAGACATGAAGCTATATTCATTAAACGGATCAGAATGATGATACTGATTGCAAGATTCATTACAAAGAAGAGAGTCATTCACCAAACTAATTCCTGGAATATTGTAGCAAGTAGAACAGACATGGGGATAGTAAGAAAAATCTTCAGTGCATGTATACTCATGAAGCTATATTTATTAAACGGACCAGAATGATGATACTGATGTCAACATTCATCACAAGGAAGACCAAGAGTCACCCATGCATCAAACTAATTTCTGGAATATTGTGCAAAGAAGTTAAATAGAGCAAACATGGAAACAGTAAGAATCTTGAACTCACTAATGGGGACAAGAGCATTGGGTCTCAATCCCAGAGGACGAAGAAAGCGCCGACTTGAGTGTTCTTGATGGGAACTTGCAGCAGCCATGGGAACTCTGATTCCTCTGAAGTTGCTCTTAGTCTGAGAAGAAGAGACGGGAAAGAGGGAGAGCTCAAAACGCAAGCAGCATGAAGTCGCCATGTGTCGGTGATTTTCCGGAAATGGTATATTGTGAAATAGAGAATGCTTTCTTCTGTTGATATATATTGTTTCCCCGCCCCCCAAGTTGAACTACTTTAACTGAAAACGGAATGCAAATGCAACGAATTCTTTTTCCTTTTTTGGGAAAATTTGTTGCTTAGTGATCTGATCAATCATAGTACGTGCATTGAGAAAAGAGGTGAGTAGAATACAATTATGGGATACACGTATCATACAATTAAATTTTCATGCCTTGCTCTTTCTCTGTGTGTATAAAAATATGAATGGAAAGAATTTAATTTAATTTATAGGGTACCAATCTTTTTTATTTTTTTATTTTTTTTGGGTAAAAAGGCAAAATATATTAATTGAAGTTGAGATTAATCGTATACCACTCTATAAGAAGTACTGTACGAGCTATATTGTTTAAGTGAAATTGATGATTTAATAAATTTTTATTTATTTTTATATAGTACAGTAATATCATATTAAAAGGAAACTAAGTCTTCATTATTGCATTAAAATTTAAACTGGTAAGAACAGAAAATAAAAAAACTAGAATTTGGTGTTATAATTTTAGTTAACATGTGATTATTTTTTAAATATTAAACAAAAATGGACCTAAGGGATCAAAACCCAAAAGGATCAATGGAGGCCTCATAGTAACACATTATCATTGTTTTTAAAACCGGACCGGACCGGCCGGTCCGACCGGTGAACCGGTGACCCGGCCATGTGTCCGGTCCGGTTTTCTTTTTTTTTTTTGTTTTCAGTTAACCCGGGTTAACCCGGGTGACCCGGGATTAACCCGGATTAACCCGCCCAACCCCTCGGTTCAGGCGGGTTGGGCGGGTTGAAATTTAAAAAAAAAATAATAATTAATTAAGATATATATTTATTTTTAACATGATAATGATTAATGATAGGTCAATATGAGTCATAGGGTAAAAAAAATATACTTATGTCAGATAAGGGGATGAAACAAGTAAAAAGAAATCAAAAAGTATAAATATATATTATATTATATTATTTTTTAATTTGAATTATTTAATTAAATAATTTTTAAAATATATCACTTTCATTTATTATCTTTTATTTTAAAATAAATTTTTATTTCTATTATTTTAACTCATTGAAATTTTTTTATCATTTAGTTAACCTTATTTTAAAAAAATATAGAAATGTTGTTATACTTTATTATTGTTACAATTATTGTTATATGTTATATGAGATATTAAGATTTGGATATGTATGAATGTATTGAGAATTAATACATTTTTTATTTAAATTATATTATTTTATTATGACCGGTCTGACTCCGGTTTGACCCCCGGTTGAACCCATGACCCCTGACCCCTGAGTTTGGCCGGTTCAATGACCGGTCCGGTTTTCAGTACCTTGCACATTACACAAGCCCAGATGAGATATAAGGAATCTAGAAAGGCAAGATCCAGAAGCTCCGTTGTACTTCCCAACAAATGTATAGCTCCAAGTGATAATAACAAGACAATTTCGATATATATTAAAAAAAAAAAAGACAATTTCAAAGTAAGAAAATGCGAACTCGAAGTGGTAAATGCCCCCGGCTCACATTAGCATCAATCATTTTTCTCGCCTGGTTTACTCTGCAACTTCTCTTCCAGTTCCTACTTTCCCAATTCACATCATCTTCTTTTTCTCCCTGAATTTTATTCCCTTTTGTTCTAAAAATTACAGAATTTGCCTATCTGGGAAGCTCCGTTCTCATGAAAAGTTTGGAAATTTGGATCATTTCGTTTCTGGGAACTAGCAAGCTTCGGTTTTTCAGGTAAAAGTGATGTGTCTTTGATTTCGGCTTGTTGATTTGGGGTTTTCCCTTGATTGGAGCTGTACTTGTTGCCTTTGTTTTCGAGGGAAAATATGACTTTAGAAAGAAGGAAATCTGGGCGATTTTTCTCGGAAAGAAGTATCACTTCTCTTTGCATGATAAGTAATTGGAATATTGGTGGAAAGTTGATTTTTGGTGATGATCTGGTTGTCCTATAATATTCTATAATCTCTACCCTTCAGAAAAACTGGAAAGAAAGATTTTGGGGGCTGATTCAGGAACGTGAATCATTGAGTTAGGATTTAGGAGTTAATGATCTTGCTGTCTTAAGGCTTGTTGTTTGAAGCTAAGAGGTACATCCTTTTCAGTCTATCTTTTAAGGGAAATATTAGTTCTGTGGCTTTACTTCCTAGCAATTCCATTTTATTTTGAAATGGATGACACTGAGGATGATGCAAAGTATGCCCCTACCCCATATGATGTAAGTCATCACCAAGGTTATGGTTATTTGAATGGTCAGAAACTTCCAGTTGGGAGCTCTCGACATTCGCTGCCAGTTAGAAGTGAATATGCTGAAGATGATAATGATTATGAGGAAGAAGATGACGGAGAACAGTTAGGACAGGAAGAAGATGATGATGATGGTGATGGTGATGATGAAGACAATGATCAAGGTAATGGTATTCATGTTCCCCAGAAAGATGGCCATGACAATGGTGATGAAGAAGAAGAAGAAGAGAATGGAGATGGGGATGATAGTGACGATGACTCTGATGACAATGATGATGATGATGATGATGATGATAAGCAGAAAAGTTACACCATAAGGATTGAAGATGATTTAGAATCTCACCCAAAAAAGAGAAAGCTGAAGAGTTTGATTTCAACTTATGAATTTGCACCCCGTGTGCCTGCACCTGCAGTTGCAGCTCCTTCAGCTCCTAAACCAGCATTTGGTGGTAGAAATGCCCTTACTGACTGGACTGAGCATGAGACATTTGTTCTTCTTGATGCTTGGGGTGACCGGTTTATTCAACGTGGAAAAAAAAGTCTTCGGTCTGAGGAATGGCAAGAAGTTGCAGAAAGGGTAAAAGAAGTTTCAAAAACTGAAAGGACAGATACGCAGTGTAGGAATAGACTCGATACATTAAAGAAAAAGTACAAAAAGGAGAAGGCCAAATTAGTAGAAATGGGTGGTGGAACCTGCAAATGGGTTTATTTTAGCAGGATGGATAAGCTGTTGTCCTCTCCTCAACAACAAGCTGGTCTATCTTGTGGTTTGGACTCAGGAGAGTATGTTTTCTCGAACCCTAGAGTTTACTTGAACCGTGCAAATGTGTTTGATGAAATGAGGGATAGTCCAGGGAATTCAGAGTCTACTGGTGAAGAAGATTCGGTTGGGCTCCACCCAAAGAAAAAAAGTTCTAGAAAGAACAATGATGAGACTTCTTCCTTCAAATTACTTGCTGATTCCATTCAGAAATTCGGTGAGATATATGAGAAAATTGAAAACAACAAAAGGCAACAGATGGTGGAACTAGAAAAGATGAGGATGGATTTCCATAAAGAATTGGAAATGCAGAAGAGGCAAATTTTCGAGAAAGTGCAGAACGAGATTGCAAAACTGCAGCAGAGAGATGAGGAGGAGAATGACGAATCTGCTGAGAATGGTATGTAATGTAATGTTTATACATTGTTGTTCTGTTTGTTTCGTTGCATAGTATGTAGACAGCTAGCTGTTGTACTTGGTATTATATTCTGGGCGTTTTGCCCCTTCAAATTTATGATAAGGCAAGACTTTTGCCAGGAATGTTACACGGTACAAAGAATACCGAAAACTGAATAGTCCATACTGTATTTTTATTGCCATGTTTAGGTTCAAGTTTAGCCTAGTCTTTTGCTTATTGCATAAGTAGTTGCCTGTTTTTGGCTTGTTATGGGAAGCTTTTGCCACATTTCAATCTTATTTGTACTAAATAGATGCTTCTTTTGCAATCCTTCTGATTTCCATTTCCCTTATTGGAGTTTTCATTCTCAGTGAAACTGTCCATAACTGTGTTAAATGAAAAAGAGTCAGCTTCTGTTAGAATCAAATGTCATTGCCACAAGAAAAGATGTAGATCCCTACTTAGAAGAAAGATATCTGAGGCTGTAGTTGGTGATATTGAATACCAAGGTGTTGTTTGGTTCATAGAAAGGTTGGTAATTGAATAGAATGGGATATTCATTACCTTGAATGTGTTTGGTATGGTGTTAAGAATATGGGAAAGGAGCTTATTTTTAGTATTTTATTAAATGAAAATAAAAATAAATGTACCATAATGCCCTTATAAAGAAGAGAGAATGACAGATAAGCTCCCGATAAAATTTTCTAAAAAATAAGGTGCAAATATTTATTCAAATAATATCAAATTCAGAAGTTCCAATTGTAAATAAGACATTTAAATTCTAAATTTAACTATCAGTTTGCAATTGGTATTTCTGTTTACAATTATCCAAATCCATATTTACAACTCATTTTTATAAAATTTTGTGGGGAATCTAACTATCATTAATTTTCTCTTTTCGGATTTTATTATCATTCTCCCTGAATGAAAAGAGCAAAAGAGTGGAGAAAGTATAGTTGTGTGCCAATGAGAATTGGTGCGAGTGGGAATGAGATTGAATAGACTTTCTTGAAGGTGGTCCCATTTCATGAAATCTAAGGATAAGTCTTTCCATGAGAACTGTGATTCATACCAGAAAAGACAAAGCAAGAGAATTAGATATAGGAATAAAATCTTAATCTCTAAGGGCTGTTTGTTACTAGAAAGGAATGGAATTGAATGAATTGGAGAAATGAAGACAAAAATAAAATGATTAAGATTTGAAAAGGAGATAAGTCAACCTTATTCAGAGAGATTAGGATAATTTAATTTATGAAAATAGGAGTCATGATTCATGATGTTTGTGAAGAGTGTGATGATTCTTACATTTGTATTATATGATATTGAATTTTATCATGCTTACCATGGCTATGAAGATGAGGGTAATTTAATTCATTTTTTTATTTATATTAATTTAATCCATTACATTCACTTTCTTTCCAGCATCCAAACGGCTCCTAAGAGTGAGTTATGAAGGAATTGAGCCAAATAGTTCTAAGTACTTCTTTTATTCAGCTTCAGCAATTCAAAGATTTTTCAACTTTAGATGATTTGGTTTTAGTCTCATCATATGATATGATATGATTCCAAGTCTTGTTTTAATCAAAGTAGATATTGCTTTTGGGTCTTCTTTACCGGTTACCTTTTTCAAATTGTTGAAACAGGGTACCCTCCGAGTCCAAGGCAAACTATGAGTCAGTTTGATATATATGGCTTTTTTTTTTTTAAAAAAAAAGGAATGAAAAATATAATTTTATAAAGAATATTTCTTTTTGGAAAATGAAAAGATTGGTAGGAAATTATCAGTAAATGCCTTCCATTTCCACAGCATATTTCTTGATTTTCTAACGATTCATTCAGGGTTTAACTTCTGACATCACAAAATTTAGTTCTTTCATGGGCTCAGATTACCTAAAGAATTTTTTTTCAAAGATAGGAGGTTTTCAATTTTTAATGGTTATGTTTTGTCCGTAAAATAAGATGAAATGAAAAGGAGCATAAACTGAAACATTAATTTTATGGGTGGGAATTATAGTGTTCTTAAACGGAAAATAATAATAAAATTAATGCTTTTGAATAATATAACAACAACATAAACATGATGTGGACTAATTTTGCCTGTATCTCAAAGGAAGTCTATTATATAGTTCAATTTGTTAAAAGAAATCTCAATTCAATTTTTACTTTTGTTAATGAAGTGAATTAAAATTTTTCACTCCTCTTTATAGGGCAATTTACAATATCACTCGATGAAAGAGTAATTATTAGATGATATTATGGCATATTATATATCAAAGAAAGTTTTCTTTAAAAAAAAAACTTACAACGAGGGCAAAGAAACTATATGACTCAATTTTTACTTATGCCATGGGATGTGATTTCCAATCCCCTGCGTCTCAAAGCTATCACTATTTTTCTTACAAAATTGAATTGACAGTGCTTTTTCCATATTTGTGCATTTACTATACTAATAACGCAGTTTTTTTTTAAAAAGATTAAAGTATTTTATGATTACTTTATTCAAGCCAGTAAGCCTGACAATCTATTGAAAAAAAAAAAAAAAGTAGCACATGCTAGAAATAATAATACGGCGGGGAAAGAATGAACATTTTATATCCGGAAAACGGGCCCTTTAAAGATTTAGCGAGAGAACGCATTTTGAAGACGCAATCCATGAAACGGGGGGAAAACATTTCTTTCGGTTGTTCACAAGTCCTCCTGATACATTCTATAATCGCTTTCCCATAACCCTAACTTAAATCTGTTTATGAGTTCATAATGATTGTATTGAAGCAAGAAATTCTATTCTACGCAAATGACTCTTTTTCCCTTACTTTGTAAATACTTGTAATCTTTCTTCCTACAATCAAACATATAGCATAAAACATTAATAAGTTGTTGTACCGTACAGAAAGAAATGGAAGTAAATTCTTTGAAACCAAAGCTACAGTTTAACTCAAGAAATCATACACAAACTTTTAAGACCTCGATGGACTCGGCCTCTTCCCATCATTTGGGAAAAGTAGACAACAAGCACTATAGATTTCCCTTCCAACCCTTCTTTGGGTTTGAAAAAAAAAAAAAAAGGATTTCAAATACCACCACAGTAATAACTAAATACCTGTAATCACCCAACAGAGAGGGCACTAAACCAAACATCCAGCAGCCACTCACTGCTATAACCCCCCCTCCCCAACTTCACATTCTTTTACATAGAAAAATTACGCAGTGCCTGAATTTTCTGACTTGTCAGTCTCCATCGGTTCAGTAGGTGCTGGTGGGGCCTGGTCTGCATTGTCGCTCGCGTCACCATCTTCCTGAGGTTGCTGCTGCTCACTACCCGGAGAAGGAGGCGGCGGGGTACCTGTCGCTTCAGGAGTAGCTGGTTTGGCTGGTCTCGGTTTTGTCATAATTGGCTTACAGAATCTGTTGAAACAAATACACAGTTGAAACCGGAATAGATGAATATCAAACACATGAGGAAATCACCTTGCAGCAAAAGAAAGGAACTAGAAAATATAAGCAACTTTATGAGTAGGTTCAACAACCCTGTCCAACTCCAGAAGTTCACAAGCAGCAATTAGGTTCAATCCTCAATTCAACTACTACCTTAAATACGAGTAATGACATTAGTGACACTTGACAGTTGCAGAAAAAAGCTCAATCCTAAAGCAGGCTGCTAACCTAACGTTTGGCTAAATAAAACAGCCAAAAGAACAGAACATAAGCATGATTTGAATGCATCTTGAGAGAGGCTGGTTCGGTGAGCATTATAAAATGCATTGAACAAAACGACACAAAAGGATCACAACAAACGTAGCAAAAGAAAAGAGCATAGGAATAGCAAACAGGCAGGAGTCCACACCATCTAAAAACACCTGAACTAAATGCAACCAAACCAACAGAATGAACAATATCACATACCTATTAACCGCCTCAGCTTTCTTTCTTACTTCAGCTGACAAGAGTACAGGGGTAGCATGTTTTGGAAGAGAGTCCTGGTGCTGCTTTTTCTCCCTAAGCCAAGCCTCAGCTTCAACACATTCATTCAGAACCTACAAACAAATAATTAGATACAGTTTCAAGAGCCACCAACAGAGACGTGTGGGTATAAAAATAGACAATTTACCTTCTGTTTCTCAGAAATGTCAATGTGATCAAATTTGGGATCGTTTGACATTGCAGCTTCCCTGTAGCTATTTATACAATAGATCAACTGACTGATTACTGTGCCCCTCTCCATGTATTCCTTGTAACGCTCTTCAATTGGATCACCTTGCTGCAATTGGATATAATTAGATTGCAAATTCAAACTACCATGAAAATGCCTCGTGGTACTCATTTTTGTACACAACAAAGGTAAAGATGATGTTTAAACGATCCTGATTATTTCTAATTCTTTTCACTTTTTGGTTAGAGGGGCGGGGATGGAACTTTTGCTTTCTGAAAATTTCTTACCTTCTTAAGTTCCTCGAGTTTGGCAACATAAACACCTTTAGTTTCATCCTCACCATCTTCATATAACCAGTCTTCCACCTCCTGAAGTCTAGCAGTAAGTGCCTCTCTCTCTGAATCAGTGACAAACTCTTGGTATTTGTCACTGAGCTGAAGTGATGAGAGTGACATTAGTTCCAGAAATCATCAAAAGACAGGCATATACATCAGATGTAAGGGTAAATAAAGGAATAATATCCCACCTTGTTCCTCATGTCATAAACATAAGCTTCGACTGCATTTTTCTTTTCTTTTGTTTCTTCCATCACTCGATCTTGCAAAGCCATTTCAAACTCCTTCTCTATGGCTTTCTGGACATCTGAATGACTCATTGCTCCATAGACCAACTCTGTCACATGTATGTTTGTTTTCCTGACCTTTTTCTTTGGAGCCTCAACCTGCCATTGTAGGGGGGAAAGGCCAGTCAAATTGCAACATATTGTTTAACGATGCTTGAATGCTTATTTGAAGTACAATCTCCAACAAGTGAAGCTTATAAAACAAGCATGGTTTTGCATAACAGAGCAGTTATGTGAAGAGTAGACTTAAATTCCACTAAAGCAGGAATTCATATTTTGCATCCATTGCAGAAAAAATTCAAACAAAAGAAAATCCACAGTAAACCCAAAAATGTAAAACTTCTATTAAAGATTTTTCAATTGGAAAAGGCACAACAATTATCAGTAAAAGTGAATTTGTTTAGATAGCTTTAACTGCTGCAATATCAGGTTACCTATTAAAGTTAAATTAACTACATAAACTTGATGATGATGCATAATGCATGGCAAGATGGGAGAACAGTGCATATATCTATATAACTAAAATAAAATAGAAAAGTAAAATAACTTGTACAAAACTTTTAAATTGTAATAACTCCAA